TAAAATAATTGCCAGTTTTGTAGTCACTATGTCCATCCGTCTTATTGAAAGTCTTCTTTTCCACTACTTGTTTTTATCAAGATAATGTCTTTCTCCAGGGACTAGTGTTTCCTGATGACATGTAGGAAGTACATAAAAAGAAATGCAACAGATGTCGTATGTGGGCTATTCAAGCTAAAATCTTGCTATCTGGCACTTTATGAAATAGAACCTTATTGTCTCTGCCAAGGTTGTTTTCATTCGTGTTCACTCACCTTATGTGCCATCCTTATAATAGACTTCTAGCAACTACCATTTCCCTAAGTTCCAAATACATATGCCCAACTACCTGTAGTGCAACCCATCATAGTATGCCTTGCCCCAAGTGCTAGATTCCCTATTTGTTCTAGATTGCCTCCTCTGAAACTCTTATTAAATGGTGACTCTGTTCTTGCTCTGATTTTTTTTAAAAACTATTCTTTATTTGTCTGTCCACTTTACATCAATTCTATAAGCAAAATTTTATTGGTTCTTCATTCCAGATGTCCAGTACCTCACCACCTATACCACCAATGCCTTTGTCCAGGTCATCACATAAGCTGGCCTAAAATATGGCCATGTATCATCCCTCCTGTGTCTGGAGACCATCCTTGGCACAACAGCAAGAATGTCACATTCCTATATGTAAATAAGTTTTCTGAAGACCTCCCTGGTTCCCTGTCACTCTCAAGTAGTAGAATGTTCCTTACTGTGACTCCATCCCATATATCTGTTCTTTCCACTGCATCTTCTAGACTCTTCCTCCATGATCATTTTATAGGACATACAATCCACTTGCTTATTCTGGAAACTGCTTTAACTACTTCTGTCTCCAGCAGGCACAGGCTGACCTCTACCTAAAATAGCCATCATTATTATATGTCTCATTCATTTCAGGCCCAATGGCCCCTCCCCAGAGAGGGTTCTCTGAGCACTCTTCCTGAAAAGTATCTCCTCCTCACTCTTCCTTGATTTATTTTTGTGTTAGCAGATATCTGACCTCCCACCATGTATCTACATTTTACACCTGATGTGGCTAGCTCTCTACTAGAATGGAAGCTCATTAAGGACAATGACTTTGTTCTATTTACTACTGGGTCCTCAGCTTCTATAGCAGGGCCCAAGACATAGTAAGCATTTAACAAGCTAATACTAAGTAGGTGAATCAAAAAATTTTGGAGTCCAGTAGATGTGGCTTCAACTCTTATGTCTATTGAAACCACTTGTGACCTGAGCAAGTGACTCAACTTCTCTTAATCACAGTTTCTTTGCTTATAAAATAATAAAAGTCTTGGCAGTCTTTTCAATAATGCCAATGAGAACTAGAAATAGCATAAACAGTTGTAAACCATTATAAAGACAAATCAAGAAAAGATACTTTGAGTATAAAGAGGTGTTGGAGAATACTTCAAGAAATCAGAATTACTAGCAATTCACCCAAGAGGGTGGTCTAGGCTTTGAACACTTTTCAAACTCTCCTAACAAATCCTCTTCAGGCTAGCACAATTTTCTGGTAGCAAGGGACTGTTGTTTGGAAGCCTCAAGGAGAAACATCTCTTGTCAAATAATATGTCAAAGCTGACCAGATGTCAAAATTCATTCTTAAGGTGATGGCATTATAAGACTAGCCTGTGATCTTTCTTGAGATAAAAGTCAAGGCTACAGCCTTATCACCTTTCCATATTTGAAATTATAGTTAAGTATCTATTGTCAGTGGAACACTGTTATGTATATCTCATTTCCTAGAGAGGCACAGTTTCTCCTTGCAAGAGTTTGTCCCACCATATATAAAATTTACCAAGTAATTACTGAGTCTTTCTCACTTCTATGTGCCTGATCTTGGGCTGGAATAAGATTCCCAAGTCCTAAAGAGCTCATATTCTATCGGAAAATATTGGGATGTACATTAGCCCAGAAGAAGAGACACTAGTCAGGCTGAACATCACAGAAAGTTAACTTTTGAGAATCCCATTCTGAGGATGTGCCTACATTATTGGCAATAATAAAAATATTTACTAAGGCCAACTTTGGCTGGACTCTATGCCACTACAAGCTAACTCCCAGAAAGCAGCACCAACACAATCTTACAAATATGAGAAATAAGACGTGAGAAGCCATGTCACTCTCCAGGGCTGCTCAGGGCTGAGGGTCAGAGCACTTCACTTTGTGCCAGCACAGCAGAAAGGATGTTGACTTGAGTAGTGACTACTTACATGCATATGTAACTTCTACCCTCACAAGCTGGGTGTTGCTGCCCTTACTTTATGTAGGCAGAAACAAAATCCAATCAATAGGACATGCTTTTGATGAACATCATACTTTTAATGACGCCCCCCCAACTCTAGTACAAAAGTGGAGACATGTGAAGTGCAGAGTAGACAACAGTACAGACTTAAGTGCTACAGGCAGCCTCCCACTTGTCACCTTGACTGTCCTATCTTGTTCACAAGACTCCCTCCCTCCCTCACCTTGACTGTTTTACTTGTTTACAGAATCAAACCCAAGAATGATCTCCACTGAGACTGACATTGCCATCATTGCAGGTAAGCTTCCTTCAGCCCCTGAGGCAGCTGGGAGGGTGAGGAGAAGAGGGCACCTGGGCCTGGTGTGGCTTTAGGAAGTAGGTTCCCTTCTTCAACAAAAGATGCCAGTGTGAAGTGGGAGAACCCAGGACTGGTCTCAGGAAGAAATGCAGGGTGATAAGGTGAGAGAAAGTGAAAGGAAGCACCTCTCTCCTGTAAGGACTCAGAGAGGAAGGGGGAGAGAGGGCCTGTGTCCATCAGGAAGCTTGAATGTAAAGAGGGATAGGTGAGTAAGTGGACAGATGAGACTGACAGGAACTTCCTGAACACTTCTTTTGCCATCTTTCTTCCATCTTCTACTAAATGCAAATACAACCCTGCTCTGTTCTAGCCTTGACCCCTTTGCTGGTTTCCCTTTGGTTGCAAATGTGACTGCCAATTGTGTTTTAAGAACATTCACATTTTTTCTGTGAGTAACATGTAAGCTAACTCTAAGTAGCTCAGAAAATATCTACTATTAAAAGAAAATTAAGACGTGGCTGTTCAGTTTAATATAGCTGAATAGTCTCTATCTCATTGGGTCATTGGACCCTTCTCCTCAGCAGAAACTATTAACAATTTATGGAATACACATTGAACTGGATACAATGGGAAATTGGTATGCACACCAGCTTTAGCTTTCCCTGACTCTCCAACATCCTTCCTGAAGGTACTCCAAATAAAAACAAACTCTAAGAAAAGACAGATGATTTGTTTTTCAGATTCAAAAATAAGTACCCAAACTTCACAACAACCTCATCCCTGATTAAGATTTTTGCCTTTTACTCCCTTCTAGAAATTTTCTTAAGATTCTTAATGGATGTGGCCCTCAATGACCAAAACTAACCTTAACTTCCCCCGCCCCCACCTCCCTGGCAGGGTAAGAAAGAGCTAACTGCTCCCAAAACACACTCCCAGCTTTGCCTCCTGTGGCTCCTGGGAGAGACCTGTCTCCCAGTTATTTTCCTGGCCACGCCCACTTATTCTGTGAGCTGCACCACAGCATCACTCCCTGGATGGAGGTGCTATGGTCTGCATATGGTATGGTATACAAAAGAAAACATATTTGGGGATCAACCTCCAACTTACCCCACCTGCTTCCAAGCAGAGAACCCACTTGCTCAGTTTGTTCAGGACTCTCCTGAGTTTCACCCTGCCAGTCCTGTGTTCTAGGAATCCCTGGGCATAGGAATAGCTGTATCTTTTCAGGGTCTGGAGCCACTCCAGTAAAACCACAAATGTGTATTGTACAAATTATGTATACATCAATCGTATACCTGCCTTCCTCAGTAGAAAGAATGTATAGAGCAGGGAGTAATCTCAGGACACTGTTCACATCTCATTACGAAGAAGTGGAGGTAGGATGGGAAAACAAAGAGGAATGGGAAGGGAGGAAGGGAGGAAGGGAGGAAGGGAGGAAGGGAGGAAGGA